TCCATAGATAGACTGACACCCGCTTTTGTAACCATGGACTCTTTTCAAGTTGCTTCCAAGAGTGTGAAAAAAACTTCGGACATTTGTATCACCCGTTCTGGACGATTAATCCGACCCCCGCATCGGTATGTCACATTTCGTTGACACTGCGGAGGGAGTATGCAGCGGCAGCGCCAAACAGGCGATACGGACTTAAAAACTGTACAGAAAAGCGCCAATTGGCGAAACAGTAAACCCGTTTGGCAAACATACAGGCTGACGGGGAGAGAAGAATTTTCCCCGGCAGTCAAGGGGAACTACTTCAACAAATGTGTGCGTCTCTGTTTCGCCGAGATATGTGAACTTGTGTACTCGCATCTGTACTGTGCTCTGAATTTCTTAAGCCGTTATAATGTACCCGGCAACTGTTACTTTTCCTTATTAAATTTGATTATTAATTGTAACATGTCTATCTTAACTAAGATTTCGGCTTTCCTAGTTAATGTTAGGGATATTTTCGTATGCACGTGTTACTCACACGTACATCAAGCCAGACACACTAATCGAAATATCAAAAATAAAAAATTATAAAATATCACAGCATATTACAATATAGATGTTATTTGATTGTGATTCCCAATTTGTCATAAAAGTGAACAATTTTAAATTTTATTTCACATATTGGGAAAACTATTGACTGATTTCAAAAACTTTCCTCTTAGATCCATACATTTATCTCTCTGAAGCATTTAATTGTAACACTTTATGTGATACTAACAACTAAATATTGCATTTCTTATTGAAACATGGAAGGGAATCTCAGTTCTCCTCCTACGAAAACCAACTTCTAATATAATTCTAATAGTAACATCTTTTTATCACATAAAAGTAGAAAGTGTAGCAAAGGCGAGAGACGGTTGCCAGGAAACACATCTGGTTTATTGGTTTATGGCCTTTTTACTAAGAATGGAGGCAGTAGGGTGTTGTATTGTCGCCTTTTACTAATGGCGTTTGTAACGAAAATCGTCTTCCTTTCGCTTTGGTATAGTTTCAATTTTGTTTATTTCAAGACAGTGGGAGTTGTTGTAAGCTTAGGTAATTGGATTCTCGTAAAGCTTAGTTTCCGCTTGTTAGTTGGGAGGTCCACTTTAGTTCTCACATTTTTCCTGAGTACAGATGTTGGCTCATTGTGAAATTTTTCGTGTTCTTGATTCGTCATGAGGGTGTCATTTCTCAGTTTAGATAAAGTAAAATTCTGGCATTGGTAAGATTTAATTTGATGCCTTTTTGTAGGCCTATGAACTTACAGAGTCGGAGAAACCGAGATTTTCTGGGAGATTTGCATTTTGTTAGAGTCATTCGAATTCTAATTTTTGAAGAAGGTAAAAAAAGAAAAGAGTGGGGGCTTGACCCCTTGCGGGTCTTGCTCTCGCGAGCGGCGTGTACCGGCAGGTTCCGGTTATGGTTTTTCCTTTAGAGTCTGCTATGGAGTGATTTTGAGCAGCAGCGATGTGAAGTTAGATAAAGAGTTCGAGCGGCATTTGCCCTGCGGCCGGCTTGCCGTGCTGCGGGCTGCCTGATCAAGAGGGTTTGAGCTCCGCTTTCTTTTCTCCAGAAGAGGCATTTTTTCTGCGAGATGATTAAAAATTTTGTGCGCGATGTAAAGAACAATTTCCTGCGATATGTCTGAAGAAATGCGTACGAGCTGAAAAGAACATTTTATTGCGAGCTGATTACTAATTTAGTGCGAGATGTAAAGAGCAATTTACTACAGATTTTCCTCTTCACCCGAATCTCCAGATATCCTTCCGAGACCGAAAATTTGACATTCCCGAAATGAATATGTCTGACACTTGGAAGTTTCAAACAGAAGCATGTGTCCTTAGTATCGGCACCTGAGATTCCAAACACATAAATATTCCCAGGTAGAGGAATTTGTTATTACTATCCGGCACCCGTGGTTCCTGACACATAGACGGTCCACACAGAAATATGTTCCTGAAGAACGAACTTTTCCCTGATTTGGCGGTTAGTTTTACAAAAAGGACTTCATCCCATTTCCAGATATTCTTGTACAGAATGGACTTCAGTGCGAGAGTGTTAGTTAAATTGTAATCAAAGTGTTGGCTCAAGGAAATAGACTTCCTCCGTAACTAGGAAAACTGGACACTCCCCACAAGGTTGTGTATTCCGAAAAATATGTGAGTGAAATTTTTAAGATTATTTTCTCTCTCTCTTAGTATTCCCAAATGCCATAGTGGAACAGTTAATAATGATTTATCTACATGTTTATATTGTTATTACTTATACAAATTGAGTATTACAGTTAATAAAATTGAAGAGTGATTATTATTTCAAGTGATGTTTGGAATGTTTTAAATTTGTTTCACCTACTGAGTGTGTGAGTCAGAAAATGTTTCTAATTAATGAGAACCATTTATTTGGAGAATTAAAATGTGTTACACCTTCTTAATTTGTAAAGAAATGTTGATTATTAATTAAATGTTTTAATTATTGTAAGCTAAAATTTTGTGTGACAGATCACAGATGCTATATTTTCATAGTAAAAAATATGTGGTAGGGGATACTGATCAGTTACCCAAGTATTTACTAATAATATTATTATATTCAAGAATTTAATAAATGTGTTTGATTTAGAATTTTAATTGCACTTATTTATTTTGTGTGTTAATTTACTGTGGTTTATCATGTCTCTCCATTTGTTTGAGCCGGGAGGCTTTTTAAGAAACATGGAGCTTTAATTGAATTTTGGGTTATTGTTTTTCACTTTCTTGGGTTTACTCACAACGCGAACGTAAAATTTAACTTGTATTACCACTATACGATTGTTCGATATGAGATATGAATGTTATGATGATATTATTAGTCCAAAGGGATTTCAGTCCCGAAGGACTATTGCTTTCGTTTTGGCATTTTGCGTCGGACTCATAAACGTCGGTTCACTTTTCAAACTGTTGCCACAAAATGTTAGAGTCCTGCATTATATTTGAAGAAATTAAATAATGAAAAATCTGCATAAATGATTGTCTATTTCTCGCATTGTGATAAAACAATGGTACATAGAGCCATCGAATTTTGAATGACGAAATCCTATTGCGAATATGGGCATCTGAAATCCCAAATTTGGAATTTCTTTTATTATAGATTTTATATTTTTTAAAACTTTAACGAATTTTTGATTTACAAACTCAATGCTTTAAAAGCGAGAAATGGCAACGTTATATAGAAAAAAAAAATACTTTTATCTCCAGCTCGCGAGACTGTGTATATCGGAAATTCTAAAGATATGCTTAATTTAACATTATTTTGCGATATTGCTCTTGAACTGAATTTTATGGTTTAAGTGCAAAGAACATGATATTTAATAAATAAAGATAACACTCAAAACGTTAAAAAAAACGCCCCTTTGGACGTAATTTAAAATCTGAAAAATTTCAGATTTTTTTTAATTTATTTTATTTTATTTATTTATTTAATTTTTTGAGCTTTTTGTCCAGTACCATGAGTGAGTCAAAGTTAAAAGTCAGTTTAAGAGTAAAAGTTATAAAAGCAATAAATAACCCCTAATTTTCAGATATTCAACAATTACACACTTATTATCATATAAGATCACATATGCAGACCATACAGGATATGAAATAAAGAAAATTCTTTTCGAATGTTTTTCATCTCAAGATAAAGTTGTTATTCATGTGAACATGTAAATATTCTTCAAGTTTGGAAAACTTCTCAAATGACAGAGCGTATAAATTAACAACTTCGAAAAATAATAAACGACAACTGAGGAGAAAATATTTGAAAGGAACTTTTCAAAAGTGATTACTTGGTTCTTCTCTACAAAATATATGCAATTTCCTGAAATTTTAAACGAGCTCATGTTATCATGAAAGGCTAAGTACTGCATCGGAAAAGTGAATGATTGCGTTATCATGATATGATAGGGGTAATGGAAAATTCATTCTGAAATCCAGATAATCACTCAAAACGTATTTGGAAGTATTGCTATTTTCAAGTTTGTCGTTACAAAAACCTAAGTGAAGGGTAAGCTTTGTCAAAGCTTACCCCTTAGGTTAGCCTCTTAATCTGGATTTCAGAATGAATTTTCCATTACCCCTATCATGTGATTCCGGAGATAATTACATTAGTGAAGGAGAAAAAAGTAGAAATAATGAAACGTGGGGACTTGAGTGAGTAGGAAGAGCAGGCAATGACAAGAGAAGGCTAAGTAATAAAATTATTTTAAAACAAAGAGCTAGTAAAGCTACGCTAAGGTGCTTACCTTTTCGAAGTTTTGCCTGACCTGAATGCAAGGGGTGAATGGTTTCTACGAGAGGGATGATTCCCAGTGCTAAGGCATTTGTCAAGCAGTTCTGTTTCTTCCTAACTATAAAAGTGGGCGTCTTTGTAAGGAAGAAAAAAGAGCAAGAGGAAAGTGAAAGGAAAGAAAGGAACGGTAGGTAAATTTTAAATGCTAGAAGAAGGACAAAGTGAGTTAGGCTGCATAAAGGAAGATAGAGAGGAAGAGAGACAGCAAATGGCGCTAATGTAGTTTATAGCGTGCTTATGAAATTGTAATCATAGTCTCCTAGACATCCCGTTCGTTACATTAAGTCCATTACAGTAACAGCAAATCGGATTTCGAGTGGGTTTAAAATCGCACTCACTTGAGGGGTGATAAATTGAACATTTTGGCATCTATTTTTTATGCCTGTTATTATCGGATGAATAGTCTAGGTATCACTGTACATTTGTTATCCTTGGGTTAGAATTTTTCAATTCGGACTGCAAAAGGTAGGAGAAGAATAATTTTTAGGATTTCTTCAAGGCAAATTATGAGCATTTAGAAATATTTAATTTCATCAGGAGCGTATTTAATAAGTAGAGTTCTTTTGGCATTTGGCAAGATTCTTACAGATAAAAACGTACATAAAAGAAACATCAGCCACTCATTACCTTTCATTTCGTTTATGAATTTCAATAAAGTATTGGCAACAATACCATTTTAGCTCCTGGAATGTTTGTTTACTGTAATGTACTTGGGCAATTTGGGAAATGTGTAGAAAAAGTGATGATACAGAAAGTTAAATGTTGTGCAAATAATTTGATTTCCTGCACATTATTTGTTTTTGTATATATGATCTGAAAAAGTATGTTTTGTTGAACTACGTGTTATCAAAAATTTATTATATGATTTGCTAGATTCTTTATTGTTGAATTTTAAAAATAAATGGTGAAAAAAGGCAGTGGCTTTTATACATATATATTTTTAAAGTATATTGCTTAATGTAAATATGAACTATTCCATTTGGATAGGTATTTCGTAAGTCATTATAGTAAACCAGCTGATTAAGACAGAGATAACTCAAATCCCAGGGAATAGGTTGTTTGTAAGGGCGATTTTATGGTTTCCCCATGTGTACTTCAAATACAAACCAGTTTATATTAAACAGACTTTGGTACAGCTTGTTCCGAGTCTTTTATTCACCCATTCCCTTAAGCAGATAATTCTGGTATTTACCTAAAACGAATATGGCAAAACAGTCCTGTAACCAATTAACGACACTGTAGTATGGCGTGTTATTTTAATAACAATGAAATCACTTTTTTGCATTTGATATTTCCATAAGAAACAGGTTTTGATTTTTTTAAATGTGTAGGGAAAGTGATGGATAGTAAAATTTAATATTAGTTAATAATACAAGTGTATATGAAAGTTAAACTGTAATAGATCATCAGAAGGAAAAATATTTTTATCTTCGTCAGAAAAATATTTGCGGTAAGGTGCAGAATCGCCCACTTACTTGTTTGGCGCTTTTTACAAGAGTAAGAAGAATTGGATTTTTGTCAATTTTCTTTGAGTTTTTAAGTGAAAATAGGTCGATGTGTACATAAATAAAGTCAAGGGAGTGCACAATGCCATTTGTGTGCAATTCTGGGATGTTTTTATAAGTAGGTCGATGTGTACATGGATAGCGAGTATATGCAATTCTTAAAAATGCGCCACGCAGTGGGCGATTCTGCACTTTCCCCAATATTTGAATACTGGGACAAATTGTGAGATTATACTTTCATAATGTCTTTTTCATTAATTCATATTGTTTTCTTAAAAATTGTTAAAGTTTTTAATGTACATTTCTGATACAAGCTTTAAAAAATTTCTCTTTTGGGTTTTCTTAAGATCCAGCCAGAGGGGGGAAAATCAGTTAAGATATTATTGAAAGTGTAAAGAGATTAACCAGTCAAATTGTTCTTATTCAAAAAATGTTAGTGTGCAGTATTACAAAATCATTAAGCTTGTGTCAGTAGTCAACTAATAAGTTAGAATTCAGATGGCTTCACATCAATAACAAAAGCAAATATAAAATACTGTTTATATTGAAATAAAATTGCTATCTCTTGGATGAAGAGTAATTAAAATTTTAAATTTTGTTTTTCTCACCCTGAATGTAATGTTACTTTTTTAATTGTAATGATTCTAATAAACTGTGTTGCTTTAGTAGCTACATAGTTAGTTTTCTAATCAAGTCATCAGTCTTTTTTTTTTTTTTTTTTTTTTTTTTTTTTTTTATAAAGCATTTATGTATAGTTTTATGTCAGGGCTAGGACAAATTAACGGTAATGTAAGAAAATATTGTTTATGTTCTCTCTTTATTTAAATTGGTATCAGACAACAGTGAACATTTCATAAATATTTCTAAATGTAATATTTTGGTTTCTTTTTTCTTTTACACCCGTATCTCAGAAATTGGTAGTTTAAGGGTTGCATGATTTGCAACATATAATAATCTCGAAGCTGCATAACAGCTGTTCTAAAAGTTCAAAAATTGGCAACATGGTTGCATGATTTCTAATACAGTCAAAAGTCGTTAATTCGGACATTCATAATCCGGACCTCAAAGCTAAAAACTTTCTGTGCATGCGCTACGTTGACATAGGCGTTTACGCGTGCGCGTAAGACCTCTTACGACTGCGCATATGCGTGTGCATAAGCGCAGAATACGTTTTCGCGTGCGCATTTTATGTATAACGGACGGTATAAGCTAAAATTATCTAATTATCCAAGTTAATGTTGTTAAGTTTCAGTTAATGTTGATGATTGCGTTGTTCCTTAATTTTCGAATTGGATCAGGCTTATTATATTTTTTGCAGACTGTAAGAGCAATACTATAAAAGTAAACTTGAACTTTCGATTATGTCAAATAGAATTTCTGATTCTGGAGCTCCCAAAGGATCGTACAAAACGGAAGTATGTTTCAATGTCCATCAAACAAAAAGTAGAATTGCTGCAAAAAATGGAAAGACATGAAGAATGTGACAGAGAGGTTAGTGAAAACGAAAAAATTTCAATTGACAAGTTAGTCGGTATTCTCGGCACAGCAATTAACGGGACTTGAACAGCAGAAATTTGTAACTGAACAAGAAATTATGTCTGTTTGTAGAATTATAGAGAATGTATTATCACATAAAAAACGAAGCAACTTAAACAACTTACATTGAAAGAAATGTTTAATGAAGTAAGCAAATAAATATTAAGCTTTTTTTTTTTTTTTTTTTTGTAAATTTTGATACCCTTTAGATCATAATTGTTCTTTATTTCTTAAATTACGGTTTCATATTTTTAATTTTAGAATTTCTGCATGCCATCGTACGAGATTTAAACTTGTGATCTATAATCCGGAATCGCCGAAGTCCCAACGAATCCGGATTAACGACTTTTGACTGTAATTAATTTAGACTCTTTCTACAAAGCTATCATGGATTTCTTTCTATTTAAAATCTCCTTCACTACTTCTATAATGATATGTAAATATGAACTTGTGGCTTTTAGAAAATCTAGATGTGGCTCTCGAAGATTCTTGAATTCAAATATGCGGCTCTTACTGACATGAAGTTTGGCCAACCCTGCTCTATGTGATGACTTTATTCTTCACTATCATTCTACACTGTAATTTCCAATTTTTCTGTAGAATCAGAAGCGGTATTTTTATCCCATTTCATTGAACACCTTTCCAAAGTCCAACGAGGGTTGCAAGTCGATGTTTGGACAGTCTGCTTTTTAACAGTTCAAAAGTGCAAAAATCCATCAGGAGATTTAGTGGGGATGTGAGTCTTGATACTCATTTCTTGTTCCATTTTATCCAGGAAATTAACAGTTGATTTTGATGTGTGAGTTCTTTCTCTATGTTGATGCAGTTGTACTGATTGATGGCTCTGTGGGTAAAGAGAAGATAATTCATATTTGAAAAATGAGTAAAATATATATTCTGATATATGGAATTGATCTTAACATTTTTTTCTACTCTCTTTATTTTTAATTTGCAGTTGCTCATTTTTCATATAAAAACTAGCAACAATCATAAATCTGTATAAAAAACTTTATTTTCTTTGACCCATGTTTTAAGAATTTTTTCTCCCCTTTAACGGCATTAAATGATCTCTTTTTCTTGCATTCATTCAAATACACCAAGATTCATCAATTGTGTCAACATTTTTCCATTTTTATCCGGATTAATGGGTCTTATAACGACTTCTGCATTCAGCGATATGTCATGCAAAAAGACGATACACATTATGTTTTTCCATCTTTTTAAGATTCAAATCAGCATTAATTATTAATATTAGAATTTCTGCATGCCATTTTACGAGATTTAAACTGATGATCTATAATCCGGAATCGCCGAAGCCCCGACGAGTCCGGATTAATGACTTTTGACTGTATATAATAATCTCGAAGCTACATAGCTGCTGTTCTGAAAGTTTGAAAAATGGCAACATTGCCAGTTGTGTGGGAGCAGTTTAATGATTGTCATCTATGAAGCTGTGTCATGCTTTGTTGATGTAAGTAAAGCTAGTTTGCAGTTATTATTTTTTGGCTTGCTATTAATATCATTCTGCAGTTTGTATTATAATAACAGATAAGATACATTGTTGGTAACCAAACAAAAGATAGCTTTTGCATTTTACATCAGATTTTGTAAATGAGTGCAGAAAATATTTAAGCTAAGCAAATTTGTATAAAGTGATCAAAGAATTGGCTGTGTCTCTGGGGCAGCAGAGAAAGACATTGTTGAAAGAAGATAGACATTTATCAATTCATGAATCTTCAGCTAAAATTAATGATGAAACAACAAAGTATCATGGTATTGTTAAGATCTGAAAATGTTTTGTGTTTGTTCAAGATGAAAGCCATTTTCAGTGAGTAAAGAATAGAAGCTGCATATTATTCAGACCTAGCTTGGCATTTCTTAAACAGAAAATCATCACTGAGGGTTTATAGGTCAGACAATATGATCCCAAATCAAAGGAAAATTTCAGCACATAGAAATACAGTTACTCACTGTCCCTCCCCCCCTAAAGTTTTCAAGTATCTGGCTTTTCAAAAGAGTTAATGATGACATTGGGTTTTGGTTTTTAATATACATCTATAGTACTGCAGTATTGTGTTCCAAAGAAACAAACTTTAATTTGGAATTATTATTTTTGAAATAAGTAAAAAAAAATCACTTTTCATTTGAATCTGTTGCCATTTGATAAAATGTGAAATATTTTTCTTTCAGATTTTATCTGTCTGTTACTGATTAACAAACTAAACTATTTAAAAGAAGTAGATGCACTTTTTAACAGTATGATTTTTTTTTTTTTTTGCTCTTTTAATCAAACTGATTTAAATAAATATATATTTAATGACATATCTATTAAAATCATTACATATTTTTATAATTGTGTTATATATATATATATTTCATTTTATGGTAACATTCCTAGTTTAAATGCATATTCATCAAGTATGCGTAGAAATACTAATTCAAAGTCAAACAACAAAAATCAGCGTATACCTACAAAATTTTCACAGGACTAGTTTCGATGGTTTTACAGAACCATCATCTCAGCTGCAAAACCGCAATGAACAAGATAGAAATAATGATTAGATAAGATAAGAAATGGACAAGAATAAGCAAGTGGCGCCATCTGTTGGCGAAACCAGAACTAAACATAATTTCTCTAAAAGCCGACGGCAAATTTGATTGGATTAGATCGTTAACTAGAACAGAAAGATTCTATGAATTGAATGCCTCTAGAAAATCCAGTTTCCATGGAAGATGTTTTTTGAATAATTTTGGCAGCAGAAAATGAAAGTGTGCTTTCGGCCACAATGTTGAGCAACAGAAGACTCTGTGTTTCCTTTTTCTAACATATTGCCTCATGTTCTGACGCGAAAATTTAAGGCTCTCTTAGTTTGGAATGTAAATTAAACCACACTGGCAAGGAATCCTATAAATACCCCAGGAATTCATATCCGGAATGGGGTCCTTGAGTATAGAAGTTGGAATTTATTGATGGGAGAATAAACAACCGAAAGTTAAATTTCTGCAAAATATGTGCAAAAGCTAATGATGGAAAGAAGGGAATGACAACAGAATTTTTATAATCTCCTAAAATAAGCGTTGGCTTTTAGTGGTTGAGATGAGAATTTTTTAATGCTTGATTAATAATGTGGGTGAAAGCCCCGTCAATAGCTATTGCTTTTAAAAATTTAGTTCTTCATCAAGGGCTAGTTTGGGAGGAGCAAATTGAAGAGCACGGAAAACAAGGAATAAAATGAAGCTAACTTTTGTTTAGTAGGATGACATGATTTAAAGTGTGGTGGAAGGCAAACCGATGAAGGTTTACGGTAAACGTAGTACTGAAGTTGGATGTGTTACGTGTGACCAGAATGTCGAGAAACGGAAGAGAATTGCAAGTCTCAAGTCAAAAGTGAACTGAATAGCAGGATCAATAGAATTCATTGTTGAAAGACTTTATTTAATCATCTATTACCTTCAAACAGGGTAAAAGTATGTACGTAGCGGAACATGCGGAAGTTAAAGTTTCATGTTCATAATTGCATAGGCAATGATTCCCATGGCTCAGTGTGTATTTTGGAAAAGATGTTTTTACAAACATTTAGCAATCATATTCTATACCTTCAAACAGGGTAAAAGTATCGTCTACGTAGCGGAAAGAAGTTTAAAGTTTAATTTTGATTCATATAATGTTATCACACTGGGGCCATGGCTATCCCTCAGGTTTGTAAAATTTAAAAGTTTTGTTTTACATAATTTAAAACAAAACTGAGATTAGCCAAATTATTGTGATATCTAACATTATTATGATAATGAAACTTTAAATCATGGTTTAGTAAAACTTTTACCTGTTTGAATAATAAGATGATTTATAAGTTCTTCAACAATGAATTCTATTGATCTGCTATCAGTCACTTTTTGAAAGACTTGCATTCTCTTCCGTTTTCGACATTTGGCACGTAACAACATCCCTTCAGCTACAGTTAGTAAACCTTATCGGTTTTGCCTTACCACACTTTAAATCATGTATCCGACTAAACAAAAGTTAGCTTTTTATTCCTGTGTTTTGTGCTCTTCAAGTTTGCTCCCAAATTCCCTTGTGAAGAACTAAATTATTTAAAAGCAATCTATTGACAGGGGCTTTTCACCCACATTAATCAAGCAGTTAAAAAATTCATCTTCAACACATAAAAGCCACACCTTATTTTAGGAGATTATAAAAATTCTGTTGTCATCCCTTCTTTCCATCAATTATAAAGTGCACATATTTTGCAGAAATTTAACTTTCGGGTTTGTTATTTCCCATCAATAAAATTCCAACTTCATACTCAAGGACCCCATTCCGGATATGAATTCCTGGGGTATTTATAGGATTCCTTGCCAGTGTGGTTAATTTACAATTGGCCCAAACAAAGAGAGCCTTAAAATTTTCGGTCAAGAACATGATGCATATGTTAGAAAAAAGGAAACACAGAAGTCTTCTGTGCTCAACATTGGGTTGGTCCGAAATCACACTTTCAGTGTTCTGCTGCCAAAATTATTCAAAAAACATTTCCATTGGAGAACTGGATTTTTAGAAGGCATTTCACATTCATAAAATCTTTCGGTTCTAGTTAACGATCCTAATTCCAATCCAAATTTGCCTTCGGCTTTTAAGAAATTAGGTTTTAGTTTCTGGTTTCGCCAACAACAGATGGCGCCACTGCTTATTCTTGTCCGATTTTCTTATTAAATCATTATTTTCCTTTTCATTTGCGGTTTTCAGCTGAAGATGATGGTTCTAAAACCATCGAAAATAAAATTTTAGGTATAACGCTGATTTTTGTTTGATTTGATTAGTATTTAATGCGTAGAAATGTTTTATTTTTCCACCTGGGCGTTCTCTATTATACTTTACTGATAAACCATATTAAACTTTAAAAAAAAGCCCTTTTGTATGACCATTAAAGTCTAAACTGTTTCATTTCCCCCCTTTTTTTCTTCTTTTTATATTGAATCATTGTTCATGAATTCCCTCTGTATGTATTATTAACTGATTCATAGGAATTAAATTTTCTTATTAGAATCAATGAAAGGATTAAGAGTAATCATTGAAGGACAAATTTGATAAGATGAAGTTTCTTGTTTTTTATTTAATATTTCCTTCCTTGGCATGTAACCTGTTTAATTATTTTTCACTTTCATAATTGGGGACTTTAATTTCATGTTCACGTTATTGATTCCATGCAAAATTCAGATGCTTTAAAACTCTGGGATGGTGCTAATATCTCAGAAGAAATATTCAGCAGATAATTTCAAAAGGCTATGAAAACAATTTTCATGAACAAATATGGTGTTAAGATTGTAAGAAAATAAATCTTGAATGTAAAATTCATTTTAAGAAATAAAGCTAGATGTAAAGTCCAGTTAGCTAAAAAATGCATTATTTAAATGATGTAAAGTAAGTCACAATTTTAGCGTAATTGCTGGCTGTGAGTTACAAAGAAAAAAAGCAGTAATTTTAACTCAGAATTAATGAAAAGAAATTTTATGTCAAAAGAATGGATTAAGAAATTTATAAAAAGCAAAATATCTCTCTTCATATTACAGTCAACAGTCTTTAATCCGGACGTCCATAATCAGGAATGATGTATAATCCGGACCTAAAAGCTGCATAATACGTTAACACATGCTGTTTAATGTATAACGGATGGTATAAGCTAAGCTAAATTTATCTATTTCAGTTAATGTTGCAGATTGTGTTGTTCCTTAATGTTCGAATTGGATCTGGCTTATTATTTTTTGCAGACTGTTAGAGCAATTTTGTAAAAGTAAGCTTGAACTTTCGATTATGTCAAAAAGAATTTCCAATTCTGGAGCTGCCAAAGGATCTACAAAGCGAAAGCATGTTTCGATGTCCATCAAACAAAAAGTGGAATTGCTGCAAAAAATGGATAAAGGCATATCCTTTGTTTCTCTGACCATTCCGAAATCTGTTTATCAATTTCACGCTGCTCTGCGGGGGGAGGGGGGAACGTCGCGGCACGCAATGATGTGGAAGTTGATCTGTCAGCACTATCCTTATCTTCAGGGCAGATGTTTTTATTTTATTCGGCTTATAATTCTTTACTAAATGTAGTATTTCATCTCAATGTACTCCGTCTTTGATATGATTTAAATCAAATTCCTTGTCATTATAAATATTACGAATACACATCAAATAGTTTTTTGGCTGCAATTTTCTAATTTCGACTATGCGTAATATATGCTTTACACATGCATGCGTTGAAAGAAATGTTTAATAAAGTAAACAAATAAATATTAAACTTTTTTTTGTAAATTTTGATACCTTTTAGATCATAATTGCTCTTTATTTCATGAATTATGGTTTCATATTTTTAATTTTATAATTTCTGCATGCCATCTTACCAGATTTAAATTGATGATCTATAATCCGGAAAAACCAATTATCCGGAATTACCGAAGTCCCGACGAGTCCGGATTAAAGACTTTTGACTATTTAAGAGGTGACAGAGTGAGATTTAACTAAGATGGTATGGTGCTGAACAGTTAACTGACTTGTTGTAAGTATAGAAAGATTACTACAGTTAAACTTGTAGAGTCATTAGGTTTTTTTGAAGCAGGAGACATGAAAAATGCAAGGCTGTGGAGTCGGTAGGGTAAATGACCGACTCCGACACTGACTCCTGGAATTTTAAAGATTCTGACTCCAACTCAACTCCCTCATATGTATATGTGTAAACATATACACATGGGTTACAGCTTATTTTTTTAATATAAAAGAAATTATAGATGCTACAGGAAAAAAATTGATGGCATAGCAAATTATTTATATTAATTAGCATTTATAATGAAATGGAAGAACTGGCATTAGTTATTTCTAAGAAACAGTGTAACTTCGGCAAGATCTTCTTTGTTGGAGGGCCATAGATCCAATTTCATAAACTTCAGAGCTGAGAAAAGTCTTTCCAGACTGACTTGAGTAGGAGGAAGAGCTGTTACTGTTAGGGCTACTTCTTTGAACTTTTCAGGATAGATTTTTATAAGTTCTAAAAGAGGTATCTTGAAAGCACAATCATATTTCTTTATTTCTTCAAAGGCCGTGTAGAAATTTTGTTTGTATTTTTTCATTTTTATATTGAAAGGCTTTTGGTTCTTTATTTTCATTCGCTTTGCCTTAGCCTTTTCAATATTATCCAAAAGTATTTCTCAAAATCTAATTCATTACTGGAAGAGGATGATAGAGACTTAATTGCAATGTCTGCAGTTTGACTGTCCTGATTTGAACTCTCCAATTGTTCTGAGAACAATTTCATTCTTAATGAAAGTTCATAGATTGCTTTCTTTGCCTTTTTAATTTGTTGTTTGATGGCTTTCTTTGCCAAGAAAATTCGGTGTTTCAGATCTACATATATTGAACACGGCAAGATCTCATTGTCTAGAAAACCAGTTTCTCTTTTCTTCGTTGAAGAAATGATTCCTTTTGAAATAAACTCTTCATTTCAGAAAGAACAAATTTCACATTCTTCCATTTTTGCCTCCTGTCAATTCTTCAGATTGCAGCTTTTTTTTTGTGGCTAAATCCGATATAGAAAGAAGAGTTTCCAATTCTGCAAGATCATTCCATGGTCTTTCTGTTAGTGAAACATTAGGGTTATCTGCATCTTCTAAAAAAGTTCTTAATTCTAACAACCTTTTATCATCAAATATTTACTTCCTTATTGCATTGCTTGATCAATAATTGCTCCTTTTTCTGCTCACTTCCTAAGAATGGCATCATTTGTGGGAGTTCTTGCTGCTTACCTAAATTTACCAGTGAGATCTGTAACTAAATGAATCAGTTTAATCACTAATGGCAAATATCATATTCATCCTCCTCCCTTATATTTATTTATAAATATGTCAATAAAATAGAAAATAACTATTTATTAATGTATAATAATTCAGGTTAATAATAATAATAATAATAATAATAACAATTCAGGTTGTCATTATTTTTTTTTTCAATTCATTTTAATTTCATTTCAAATTCAAACTGTCCAACAAAAACTGGAGTCGGAGTCGACCTGTTTTTAGTGACTCCAGCTTCGACTCCTTTAACCCCAAAATCTGCCCGATTCCGACTCTGACTCCACAGCCCTGGAAAAATGAGCAATGCTCTCAATGGAGCTCGAACCTGGATCTCTCGAATATGCTGACTGTTACACTATGAAGGCATACTGGAAGGAGGAAGAAAATACCTTTCATACTCTCTCTTTTAAAGGGCAACTGGGGATTAGGGAACCTGATCACCAAATCCTGGTAGTGAAGAATAATCATCTACCACCCTTTTAGTTCAAGTGCCACTGTGGAGCCATTAGTTTTTTTTTTTTTTTTTTTTTTTTTTTTTTTTTTTTTAAAGCAGGAGACATGAAAAATGAGCAATGCCCTCTTCGGGACTTGCACCTGAACCTCTTGAGTATGCGGCCAAGTGTGCTAACCGTTACACCATAAAAGGCATGCTGGAAGGATGGAGATGGCCAGGTTTATTATTTTTATTTCAGAGTGATGCCTGAAAAAGAAGACATTATTTTAGGTGAAGAGGGATATTAAACATGTATTGGAAGGAAAAAATGAATAGACTTATTAGTAATATTTTGCTGCAGTGTGAGTGGCTGTAAAAAATATGACCATCAAACATTGATGAATTAGAAAGGTGTCATTATATTAAGATGTGAAATTTGGTAGGTGAATATGATGACAGCAAAGAAGCATGGGGAATTTCAAACATTTATAAATTCTATTCTATAACATTTTATTAATTCTGTTGGTAGTTAAAAGTTACTATAGGCAGCTAAAAAGAGAGAAACAGAAAGTGGTTTTATTCATATGTCTGTGCTCTATTCATTCTCTTGAACTTGCTGTACTCAACAGATAGAAAGGTGCTTTTTCTTGCTAATTGTATGATTAAGCTTCAGCTATTGGTTTTAGACATTATTTGTTGAATTCATTGCAGTGATTTCTCTTCTCTCTTTACTGATGAAACAATACTTATTTTTAAATGTCAGTATTTAATGAGAGAATATTTTACATTTTGCTCATCATAGAAAAATGTCATCAAAACTTATATTAAGAAATGGTTTAGAAAGGAAACCTTTTCTTGAAGCTTTTCGCTTTAAGAAGTAAAATTTAATCATATGGTAAAAATAATCAACATATTAAATGATAAAAATGAAGTGTCATTTTATATGAATTTCATTAGTTTTGAAAAATTTATAAGCTTTCTCTAGCATTAAGTATTTTATTTCGATGTTAAACTATGATTTTTTGCAAAATGAATGAAAAAATCTTTCATTGTTACTTTTGCACCTTATAAGCTATAACTAATGCACAGGCTGTTTCATCATTTTATTATTGATTTATGATTGTTAACAACTTTTCTTTAATTGAAAACACAATTTTTTTCCATTTAGATGTCATTAAGGATAATCAGCAGAAAGGCAGTTTAAGAGATTTTTATTTATTCTTTTTTTCTTGTCTAGACTGAAATTGAAGCAGACCATATGAAAGAAACATGTCTGGAATAAAAAGTGGAAGCAGGGTAGGCTATGTGAATGCCAGAGTAGCGATTGGGAAATAAATTAAAGATTAAGAGAAGAGTGACGGGAAAACTCTGCATAATTTCACTTAGTATTCCTATTAGCTGATTTCCAGGCTTTAACTGTAATATTTTTCTCATTGTTCCAGATGAGTTTTAGAATGTTGTTTCAAAATATTATGTATAATTCAGTTAACTTATGTGATAAGCATTAGTGTTTTAATTCTTAGGTTCATTGAGAATAATTTTCTTTTACATTCATAACTGTAGATGGCCTCACTTCAAGGATTGCCACCTTTACCTAAAAGCCTTAGTGGTCTTCTGAATTTTAGTAGTGCACAATGGAAAGAGTTAGAACGTCTTCACACTATGAGGACAATGATTCAACAAGACCTGAGTCGTGGGATGGCTGAAAGGACTAATTTGCAGAGAGTTCCTTCACAAAGTGGCAGCTCTGAAAATGTTCAAAGTGATCATGGTAGTCCTGCTTCCGATGTGCCAGGACAAAATCGGGCTGGCAGACTAGATGTGCAGCTAGCATTACTGAGAAAAGAAATGGTCTGTAGTAATTTTTGTAATTCTTTTTTAATTTTTATTTTTGTAACATGTACTATGAAGATATTTTTCTAGCATGCATCTGCCACACATTTTGGTAGTACTATTGTATTAATATGTAGGTTTGTGTTTAACTGTTCTTATTTACACATACATAAATATTCCCCAGATAGTGCTATCATTGAATTTCAGCACATATTTGTCTTGTCTTACACACGGGCCTAAAAACATGCCAAGTGCATAATGGAAAATTATCATACATAATTACTTATTTATTGTTACTAATAATATTAATTATATTACTATGTCATTAGAAGTAAATATATTTAAATTTGTATTTGTACAAAATTTTCAGAAAGCGGTGGTATACGAAATGCACTAACAAAAATCATAAACATGTTAACTAACTAAAATGCTGCTGCTTTTCATAAAAACAAACAGAATTATGCATTAATATGAGTGGTACTTTTTAATTATCTGCACTACCTCTGAAAAATTGTGAACACATTGTTGACATTGGAGAGAAACGATTGTTTTGGTATCTTGGGAACAGTGTATTGCCCACAAGGAGGACTTCTTTGAGAGGGACAGTGCTTAAAATGTTGTACAATAAGCAATAAAGATATTGCAACAAAAGTTTTGTTTCACTTTAAACACATGTCATATATATATCCAACCTCGTGCTGGGAGATAGAAACAGATCCTTCCACGCTCCTATATTCTTTCTCTCTCTACTGTTTAACTCTGCATTATCTAGTAGCATCTTTAAAGCAGTATTGGCAGATCACAAAGGTATTTAAGAAATCAAAAAGATAATTTGCAGAACCATGTCAAATAATGCATACAAATTTTAATAGAAGTCTTGACAAAGTATCTATTGCTGTGATTACTGTAGGCTCCATACTGCATGTGTATGCGACTGCTATGGTGTGTTGGATGCTGGACATGGACAAATGAAAGGTAGGATATAGTCTTTTTAGATGAATCTCAATTATAATAACATCATGGTCATATATAAGTCAGATGGTTACTAGAGTAACAGAATAATATTATCCTTATATTACACATTGCCACATCGGTCCTTCATCTGGAATTATGAATTATGATGCCATTGATTTTTCGCCTGGTTAGTACACACTCCTGATACAATCAAAATTTATCACTATATCTATGAAGTTTTGTAGCCTGTTATCCTGCCTTACTTTCAAGGCTTCCTGCGGCCAATTTTCAACAGAATAATGCATGACCACATGAGGTACCTAATTTTCAACAGTTCTTCAGTGCTTTCAGCAGTGCTGCCTTGGCTTGTGTTTTCCTGATATGTTGCCCATTGAAAATACATCTGGTTGATGATTGGCAAATAGCAAATTTTGACATGTGGTAACAGCATGGACTAACACACTCTAAGCATACATGTAAAATCTTTTCAGTGTCAAAGCATATTACTAGCTACACAAAATTTTGATTTCTTTGTGTTTTGTAAGTTAAATGAGGCATAATTTTAATCAATTAAACCCTTGCACTTTACATTATTTTCCCAGAAAATATGGCTTTGATATGTTTTGTTCTTAATGTAAGGTAAACGTAATGAACGTAAGAAATATTTTCATAAGAAAAGGTCATCAATTATCTTGTATTTCATTGTACTATTCACCAGTACACTTTATGTAGTAATTGAATGAAGCCAATCAAAAATTTCAAAAAGATAGTCAAAGTTAACAATAGGATAAAGGGCAGTAACATCAGTTTTTAGAGAAAGCTGGATAGAATTTTGAAACCTTTTTGCAATCAAGTTAGGTGACTAGGTTTAGGAAGCTCTCGTATAAGGTTTTGTAAACTGAGGAAAGATATTCTTAGTTTTCTCTGTCAGGGCTGAATCATTAATTTAATGAAATATATATAATAAATTACAGACATGTTATTTATCACCATATGGAATGAACAAATAAAGAAAGAGGTAAATGTTTTGTATATAGTTGCGATATTAACTTGACCAATTTTTAATATACATGTAGATATCTTACATTTGTGGTCTTTGCTTTCGAATTATTACTGAATATGTTAAAATATTTCAGGTTGGTTTGCGTCAATTGGATATGTCACTCTTGTGTCAGTTATGGTCTCTAAACGAATCTATTCATGAATACAAGCAATTATTACAAGATCGCATGTCTCTTAGCTTATCTCCATCTCATGCATCCTCACCAGGCTGGGACAATGGAATTGATTCTCCTAGTAGCGAAGAACATGGAGAAATAAATGGCAAGCTTTTTGACTCTGACAGCAAAAATTCTCAACAAAGAGAAAAAACTGAACAGGATCAAAATTCAACTCCAAAAAAACTATCATCTGTGGACAGTACATCTCACTCAAGTCTTGAATTTGGAGACATTTGAATAAGTGAAAATATTTTTAACATTTTTAATAAAAATACTCATCCACCACTACATTATATAAAATCTAAATATGTGTATATTAAAGTAGATATTTTTTAATATTATATACTAATATTGTGGCATTTTTAAGGGATCTGGATTCTTAGTAGTGGTCTATGTTTATATAATGTTTTGTTTAATTTAAAGATCTGATATGTTACTATTTTTCTTAAAATAAAATTTAAAAAAGATGTGTTATTTTTTATTGTATTAAATATGTGATAAAAGTCAGACATCATAAATCCCATGTATCAGTCATGCTAATTAAATGTATATCAAATACATGAAAAATACAGTTATGTCTTGATGTCTCAAAATTTATAGACTGAAAAAATATTAATCATAAATGTATACTACGTATTCAAAAATCAGAGACTTGTGTTTCCAGAGGCTATAGCAGAATAAGAGGTCAAATCTTCTCTAGGTATTATTATTGCTAGTATCCTTAGGAAACTTTCCATCGAATTTGATTCCTGCAACTGAGTTTGAGTAACTGATATTACATATAATATATAAAAGCATATACGAAAGATAAGTTGAGATCAAGCCTGGATCAACCTACTGGGTTCAATCATTTGCACATTTTAAACTCACTGAACTAATGATCTTGCTGTGTGAAACATGTATGTTAATGCTGAATGGGCAGTTTCAAATTATTGCTGTCGTATGGAAAATGCATTTTTGTTCATATTTTTTGACAAACATCTAAGATGTATGAATTGAAATCAGAGAACTAAATCCAAACCAGGAACTACAATATCAGATTATATAATTTAATTTTATAAAGCCAGCAAAACACATTTATTCAAATGTTGTTTTCTACTCCAAGTTCAGACTTAGAATGCCACATTACAGAAGTACTATGACTACATATTTTTTGCATTTATGAAGAAGATGTGAATAAATGCAAAATTTACTAGTATTAGTGAATAAATCTGAAATATGTATTTAAGAAAATTCATTTAATTCACGTGACATTTACCATCTAGTGACTTGCCACATATTGTTCAGAATCAGAATCTCTCTCTTATGTGCACCTACCTATTCACTGGCTTGCATGAGTTCTCACTCAGCCAGTTCAGTCGTGTTATAAACTGTGGAATAAGTATGCATTTCTTTTGTTTTCTAAATATATAGTTGAATTTAATATTTGTAGACTTTTATGGTTAAAATACAAACGACCCCCATTTTTTGCACATAACTAGTTCCTGAAAATGTGTACGAATGTTGAATGTTCGAAAGTAGAAGAAATGTTAAAAAAAATTAGTAATTAAAAATTGTATTTTAAAACATTATTTATCAATGTATATAATTAAATGGCAGTAAGCACTCCCAGGTGACTTTATAAACTTATCAACAGTTAGTTGAGTACCACCAATCAGCTTCTGCTTCCTCACTTTTGTTGCTCAATTAAGTATTCATTTGACAGATGTACTGAATGAGATTCAATCAACTATTCATTGCTGACGCCCAAGTTAAGTTCATTTATTATGCTAACTACTTTATCTGTGATAGTTTCCAGTTTCTTTAGAATTTATAAAATCAGTAACCATTTATGGGCATATTTGCTTCCAGAAAGCTTTCATTGTCAATTCTTTTATTTCAGCCTCCAAGTTTCCAATATTGTTAACTGTGTTACATATATTATAGTTTTTACAAAAAGTCTTAATGTAGGCCAACCTTTCCTGACAATTTGTTTTAAGGCCTAATTTATTATTGTCTTCATATAATGGCCATTTAAACATAGCAATCACTGTTTGATCCGTGGGCTGTATGAGGCAGGTACTGCTGGGAGGAAGAAAAACATTACTGATTTCCAGCTATAACTTCTGCACAGATTTCAGATGTTCTTGGTCATATCTAAGATTACTAATGTTTTATATTGTAAATTTTTATCTTTAAAATATTGCTTAACTGCTGGTACAAAATGAAAAGTGAACTAAACTTTAAATATTAAAGCAATAACCAACTCAACAGCTTGTTTTTCTACTTACTGGAGACTTAAAGAAAATGCTTATTCCACTGCATTTTAAATTTGATGCAATGTGCATCTTTGATATATTCATTAACATTGTATTGCTGATATACTCGCACGGATCTTTTCTCGATGGAGGTCGAGTCTTGAACCCAAGAACTCCGATGTTGCACCGCTCTTACCAGCGTAAGTGGAAATGAAAAATTGTAGTAGTATTGACAAACGCAAAATATTTACTTAAAAAACTTAAAACTTAATTAAAAAAAAATTGCTAAAGTCGGGGGCCGCATGTAATCAGTAAAATAAAGAGAGTTCACGCAAGAAGTTTTGTAAGTTACAAAAGAGTATGTGTTTTCTTATATGATTTTCATTCAGAAGGCTATAAAAGTTAATGCTAGTCAATTAAAGAAGAAATATGTACCACCCCAGGTCCAAATGGAATTAAAGCAGACTAAAATTATTGGTAGGTTTCAAGTGCCAAAACAGAAAGAGAAGAATTATTCAGAATGCAGTGAAGATGTGTTTGAAAGCTTCAGTATTCTACTGCGTAAAGTAGATTATGCAATTATGATCAATTATTTAATAAAATATCATCCTGGTTCAGATTATCTTCTTTCTGAAAATTTATCTGCCCTTTTTGAGAAAGAACAACTAAAGATAAGTCAGTAGATGCAGCGGCCAACGAACATCTAACAGACAGGTAGCATGTGTTTGCAGTCTTATCGAAAACTACTGATTTAGGGAACAAAGCAGTCATGTTTTTAGGGAAGTGAAAATTTTTTAGATGCAATTAATTCTTCTATTTGCTATTAAGCACTGACTGACATGTTCAAGAAATATGAAATAAAACAATCCCAAGTAAAACATCTAGTATCGGACTGTTTGCAACATGACTGCGATACTTCAACATACTGAAAACACTTCTCGGAGATCGTATTTTGCACTACCAACAGGGGCGTAGCTAGAGTTTCCAGCGCCCGTGGACAATTGAAGAATTTGCGCCCCTTTCTGTGTTCCAAGAATGGAAAACGCTTCATTAAAAAATTTCGTAGCATGAATTTGGCGCCCCTTGGATGCTGCGCCCAGGGACAGATGTCCCCCCTTGCTCCACCCTAGCTATATATATACCACTGACTACCAATGCTGGCATATAAAGTGCAATTCATTTGTGATGTATTTACAAAATGATGCAAAGAAATAAATACCACAGAAATCAAAACATTTTTTTTTTTCCACTTGGAAAAAAAATAAGTGCTTACTTGAGGAATTTAAAAGAAAAGCCACATAACTGACAAATAAAACTTCACTTTGCACATGTTATAATCTGATGGAATTCCTGGTTCAAAGCTTTCATTTATTTCAGTGAATATATAGAGCATACTATTGCTTTTCTTCTAACCAGTTTTATAATCCTGTTAAAAATTTATAAAACTGGTTAGAAGGATCAAACTATGCATTTGTTGACATTTAGAGAGCCAGTTGTATGATTTAATGTTTTGAGTGCCAAAGTAATAGTTGTTTTGGTATAAGGCACAATAAATTTTGATGAATTGTAAAAAGAAGCTGAATAGAAGCATTAAATGGTATTGTTGATAGAAGTGTTTAAATAATTCTACATATGCTAGCTAGCCCAACAAATGAATCTTGTAAGTATATTTGCAGATGTTTTTGCCTATCTATATTTGGGGCATTGCTACTTGAAGTCAGACTTGTTATTGGAAAGCTTCTCTAAAATACCACTTTTCAAAGACCTTCTTAAAGGTAGCTCAATAACTACAATAATCCTCATAAACAACTCCTTACGGTGATCAAACACCATATAGATATTTAAAATAGCATTCGGTCATAGAAACTTTGCAGAGGTAGCTGTGTATAATCTTCATAGTCCCATTAATAGCAAGGATGGTATATTTTAATATCTATAATATCATAGTTATGAACAGAAGACAGAGTTTCAAAGAAAAGGGTACCGAGACAGCTAAAATGTTAAGTTTCAATTTTTTCCATATGCTTATAGCAATTTATGTGGTTACAATAGAAGAGAATAACTTGTATTTTTAGGAGGATGTTGAATAAGTATGAAATTTTCATTTTTATGAGATTGCCATTTTTTGTAGTGAAAAAATTGTGTATCCCTGACTAAGACTTATTATGCCAAAAGACCCAATTTATTTCAAATGATTTAACACATTTCCAGAGATTTGATCGGTCACTTCTGAGTAGTGGCATGATTATGAAATGAAAGTGCAGTTACCTCCAGTAGTTAAGTCTTTTCACTTGATTTTTTACTAGAAGTTATTTGAAATAGTTACTAAGGCAGTCTGATGATTTTCTTCAATAACATACTTCAGGTTTATATTTCTCCTATCTCAATTTATTGATTTTGGGGGCTGCTAGAACAATGACTAGTTTCTATGATGTTTCCATTTACTTATAACATTGCTTATAGTAGATCCAGTCTATTAACTCTTTCCATTTCTGTTGCACAACAGACAAATATCTGGACAACAATTAAAAAAATTACATTTCCTTTCTCCAAAATCCAAGAATAGGACCTCTCAAAGCATTAAAATGTAAAACTTTTATAAAGTGAACTGGTAAAGTAGATACTCTGTTATTGATTAAAAATTATGATATATTTAAATACTTTTAGACCAAGGGGTGAAGTCCCCCCCCCCAGTCTAAAAACATAAAAGTTCTAAAAAGGGGAGGAGGAAAAATGCAGTCATCCTTATATTTAGCTGTTCAGTATTTAAAAAAAAAAAATGTTTTTATTCAAGTTTTGGTATTTATCAACATTTTCTATATTTTTATTGTTCAATTAAGTATACACACAAAAAATAATCTAAATCTAAATAAATGGATAGTATTTTTCAAGTTTTTGAATGAAAGGGATACATGGTGCAAAAATGGTTGAGAACCCTCTGCTTTTATATATTTTCCTTCCTATAATTCAGAACTTTTATTTTCCTAATTCCAATAGAAGGAAATTTTATTTTGAAATATTTGACTAAAGTCACAGAAGGTACTTGAACAATATAAAATCTTACTCTGCCAGTCTTAATAATATTTCTAGTTTAAATGGGATTATGAATAGTTAATTTGTTGATAATTTTATAAATTGCATCTTGGAAATGTAATTACTGAAAAGTAACATCATATAAAAAAATTAATTCTTATGTTGTAACAAATTTAGTTTGCATGAAAAACCTAACCACTGTACTAAAATTTATTAAAAAAAATAAACTCCTGAGATTTAAATGAAATAAATCATCAATAAATTTTGATTACTTCTAAATATTTCAAAACACTGAATTTCTGCTAAGGAATGAACACTGAATTTTTGCTAAGGAATTTCTGTCTCATACTAAAATTTCTTTCAAGATATTTGACTTAAGAGCGTTTAATACCCCTTTCTCATGTCGATTTAAGAACATGCATTAAATTTAAAAATAAATTTTACACATGAAGTAGTCCTTTGATATTCGAAATTAATTTTTAGTTTATATTATTAAAGATTTCTTCAATTCTCATTTATTTAAAGTATGATACATTTTTCTTCAAGCTTATTCCAATCATCAGCCTTAGATATCCCACTACCTGAAAATGTTTTAAAAGCACAAATTGCGCACAGTAAGATTTATAAATTTCTTAAATTATTTTTTCAATATAAAATTTCAAGAAACAATATAAAATTCCAAGGAAGGGAGGGTAGACACATTAAGCATGAAGGTTTGAAGATTTTTTTATTTAATTTACAGTGACTTACAAAAGACTAGCACAATTTTGTTAATGAATAAAATGACACCTTTGTGAAGGACAGAAAAAATTGTATATTATTTTTAAAAAATATAATATTCAGATTTTGAGTGCATAATATTTAAATACATTAAAAAGAAAAAAAAGAGAGATTAGAAATTTGTTTAACTGATTATATGAAATGTCACAGCAGATAATTCAGATAACATAAATTTATGGAATGACCTTAATTCCTTATTTACTTAAGTAATAATCATGGTAAATTCATCATTTTTTAGCTCCATGTTATAAGAAATCTCTGAGCTTAAAGTACATTATTGCAAAATATATCAAAATATACACACGTATGAAAATCAGGAAATCACATAAGGAATTTTTTTCATAATCAGATATTCTAGCCTAATAAAACTGAACACAGACAGATAAAATAATTGCATATGTGACAATTTTAATTTACAATTATAAATTGTATCCAATGAACATGTTGTTGGAGACACGGGTTTTCAAAAGTATATTTTCCACAGTTGGGGGAAATTTTTTTTTTTTTTTTTTTTTTTCATAAAACAGAACTAGAATGCTAATTTCAAAGAATTTCACTTATTAAATAATCAGGTTCTTTAGCATTAAACTAAGTGCTCTCAAAAAGTTTTCACAGTGAAAATGCTAAAATAAGGAAGAATTTTATTACTATCTTAGATCAGCTCTTAGTACAGCAGTATTTCCATAATGAAATTTTTTCACGCATTCATTTATCACTTTTGTCATTTCAGGAAATTCAGAGCTCTGGTTGGATAAGCATTCATTTGAAAAAGGTCAACATTTTAAATAGATGTTAATATGCATAAATGCTTTTTTTTAAGTGTAATTTTAAATTACAGCATGATAAATTGCACAATTTTTTTAAAAAAACTATCTTAAATATTTTGAATTCAGTATTATGAAATAAAAAGCAAATTTTACATTTGAGAGAAAGAAACAAAATGGTACAACTTCTCCATCTCTAATTCAGAAGACTTAAATTGGGAAACTTCATTATTACTCATACTATCTTTAACTAATAAGTATGACTATAATTAATTTCTACTGGCCTTAGGCAAGAGGGAAAAAATTTAACAGGAATTCAAGATTATTAAATAAATTAACTAACAATTTTATTTCTAGATATTTCCCATTCAAAGAAGTTCTTGTAAAATACTGTAAGAAGATTTGGAGTATTTTTTTATTTATGGACAACAAATAAAAGTCTATAATAATATATACATTACAAATCAGATAAATTTATAGTTTGAAAAAATATAAAATGCTTTATATAAAAATCTATAGCCCATTATAAGTCAAATAAATAATAGTTTGGCAAAATATAGCAAACTTTTATCTTATTTTTTCTACAAATAAGGCTATCTGTCTTTCAATCTCTTTTTGTAGCTCTCTCTCAGAAGCTCTTGGATGATCTTTAACATACTGAGCAATGGCTAGAATTGTTTCTTCCTTTAAAAAAAAAAAATAAAAAAAATAAAAATTACACATTCTTTCATTTTATTAAATATGTTAAGTAAAAAAAAAACATATATCTGAGGCTCTACAGTTTAAAGAGTCGGTTAAAAAATACAAATTCATACAAAGAACTTTTCAAAGGTGTTAAAAAAAATCTTGCTTCAAGTATTTTACATTACTAATATTTTTTTTAATTAAAATGCAATAGAATTGTTAATTTTGCCTTTTGCTAATATTCAAAATAATAATAAGCAAACTCCTACCCAGTGCTGAATTTCAAAAAATTAAAAAAATAAGGCAAAATAAAATAAAAGCACAAAAAGTATTCTATAAAGATTTCTCACAAAGTCGTATTAATAATCAACTTTTGGAAATTTTGGCAATCAAAAAATTTTCAAAATCAAAAGGTATCTGTTTTTAGAATACTAAACCAAAGAAAAATTTTCTTAAATAAAACTGTCAGAGGGAAAAGCGAAAATAATCCTTTTCTTTGATCAAATTTTCATTATTATGTAAAACTTAAAATTTATTATGTAAAACGTAAAATTATAATTAATACATGAAATGAAAGAGCAACTCAAACAGTTATACTTACAAGTGGTCAATTTGAGCACCTTTTGTCACACGGCACACATCAAGTCGATAGCCCAGTTCTTCCCAAACGTTGATTAATGTTTGTAGTATTATTGTTGCAACATCTGCCTCAATCCTGTTTCTTAGGACAGCTGGTAAAGGAGGCACATACACATGATCCTTTATGAACTCAACACTTTCTTCATTAACCCTTGGTCGTCTTGTATTCTGCCCTTTGCAATGGCAGTCGGTATTTTGAAACTAATGATACCATCTACGGATGTTATTATCACTTGGGGGTCACATCTTTACTTAATCCGGAACCATACGCAGCACAGAAGCTACAGATTTGGTCTCTGCAAACTGCAGAACACAAGAAGGTTTCTATTCATTAGTTGCCATTTTTGCTACTATTTCCCATTTTCACTACTATTACATGTGCCAACAAATAGAACTGTTTGAGTTGCTCTTTCATTTCATGTATTAATTATGATTTTAAGTTTTATGTAATAAATACTACAAAGCATTAAAACCACAATATTCATATAGAAACACCCTGTATATATATGTATACATATAATATTTCAGATATTATTGTACTATTATGCTCCACTTAGTTTAAGAAAAACAGTCCATTATCACCCAAAAGGATTTGTTAAGGTTTTTTTAGCTCGCAGTCTACCAGTCTGCTGTCGCATTCAATCCGGCTAGCTTTATTATTAAACACTTTCTTCGCACTTATACCATTTACAATTCAACAGCAAAATTACAAAAATTTTAAAAGCAGCATATGTTTAGAATTCCCAATGTAGTGTTAAGTGTTAGCATATGCCTTTTCTATTTTTTCAGTCTTTTCTCAGTTTATTACATCAATGTTCAGTTTCCTTAGTCAGATGGCTTGCAAAGCTTTTCTTTTGTCTTTTTATTATTAATGTTTTGTGTGTTAACTTTATTTATTAACTATCACATTTTTTGCACATATGCCACACAAAAATTAATTCAATAGCAAATTCACAAAATATTAAAAAAAAAAAAAATACTTTATAATTTCTGTCATGCAGTCTCACAATAAATTTCGTACAGTGTCCCACTGCTTGCTTTCAAATCGTTGAGTTTTTTAATCAAAAATTAATGAAAGTTTTAGAAAATATGAAATAAAAAATTAAAAATTGAAAATTTGGGCTGCCAGTTGCATATGTTCGGGTGGAGAAAAACGTTATTCAAAATTTAATGGTTCAGGGTATCCTTGCTTTTTCACAATGCGAGAAACATACCTACATACATATATGCAGATTCTTCATTAGTTAATTTCTTTAAAGTTAATACAGGGCAACAGTATTTCATGGCAATAATTTGAAAAAAGTGATTTGCTGTTTATGGTGACTGATGCAAAATTCTGTTTCAAGACTAAAAGCCCATTTGGGCTAACTAGTAAGCTCCACTATACAACTTAATATGTATGAACTGCATGAGAATGAGAATGGGAGAATTAAAAAGTAGAGAATAAATCTAACTTTAAAGCTGTACACAAATTTTTAGACTTGAGGAAAAAAAAATTACACACAGGTGGATCAATTATTTTATTGTTTTATTTTACAGCATGACGTAAACTTTATGCAATAATGAGTAATAAAGTTAACAAAATAAATCAACTCAAGAAATTAACCGAAAACTTCACTGTACACAATATTTCAGATAAAAACATTAATAACAATGCCTAAAATTTAATAATAAATTGTGCCAGATTTATTGCTAAAGAATGCACTTGCACTTAATGAGAAAAATCACTGCATGGAGATAGGGACAAATTTGGCCACCTTTTTAACATTGCAGGAGGTAGGAGGGAAGAGGTCTCTCCTTTTGATCTTGTAAGATCAGATGCTTGTGGTCACTCTGCTCATTTTTTCCCCTTCATTTTCCCTATTATAAGATACTTTAAAGAGGAAAACACACAATAATTTGAAATGATTCATTTATTATTTTTTTTTTTTTATTTTTGAAGTTATAAATACAGAGGGATGTAAAAAACAAAATAAAAATTCTAAATATTGTATCTCATTTTATAAATGTTCTACGTGATTTCCCACAGTTAGCAAGTAACATCAAATATAATATTTGAAATACCGCGCCTGCAAAATGTTTGTTAAAAGCATTCAATTATTACTAAATATGGGAAAACAAAACAATTCCGCGCTATCTGTTAGAAAATGTACTATCAAAATTAAAAATCTGATACCTGAAAACATTTAAAATTAAACCAACAATGCTGTAAAAGAGCTTTTCATGAAACTGGAAAGAAGCCTTAACAATGGCTACAATCATTTATGTCTTCTATACCAAAAACCAATCTATTGATAAATTCAAGCACATTAGAGATGAATAAGAATACAGCAACTAGACCAAAAGAGTTCCCAGAAATGCAAAACTCAAAAGTAGATCAGGAACAGAGAGGTTTAATCAAAAGCACTTTCTATAAAATAGATTTTCTTCTCATTCCATTTAAAATCAGATCAGAAACTGAAACTCAACTAAAAGAACTTCACTCTTGCATGAGAAAATTTCTTTTAAAATTACATTTTATATAAGAGGGGTAGGAGACCCACAGGTCCATGCCTCTGATATGTCCTTCAAAACTGGAATGCAGCTTCCTGTTTATTGCAGGTGTAACTCAGTCAGCATTTACATGTACCTAAGGCCAATGTGCTGAGACGGTTAAAATGATGTACAGTTTCTACCATTCTCTATAAATGTTTGACTAGCAAAATGTTCGATCATTGGAAAAAAAATTACATAATGACAGTTTTACCAATTTACAGCAAATTCATTAAATACCTTGAAACAAATTCTACTACACACATTCTAATTCCATTCAATATAAATAATCAGGTTAATATTTTAAAAGGTATAATAATAGCATTCATGAGGTTAAGTTCATTTTGAGGTACTTCTTAATAACACTCTGCTTATGAATCTCTTAATTACGTGAATTATATCTATAATGTTTACTCTCTATGATGATATACTGCAACTATGATAGCAATATTATTTGATTAGTAATTAATCAACATAATATGTCCTTAAAAGTATGCAATGTAACTGAATTGTGTTTAAAAAAAAAAAAAAAAAAAAAAAAAAAACAAAAAAAAAAAAAAACCAAAAAAAAAAACAAAAAAAAAAAAAAAAAAAAAAAAAAAAAAAAAAAAAACAAAAAAAACAAAAAAAAAAAAAAAAAAAAAAAAAAAAAAAAAAAAAAAAAAAAAAACAAAAAAAAAAAAAAAAAAAAAAAAAAAAAAAAAAAAATCGACCATTATAATGACTATGATTATCCAATTTACAAATTAGGGCGATCATCCTTCCATAAAAAGATATCTCTTTAATTCTTGTTAAAAAATTGCATGCTCAATTTACAATATAATAAATTATGGTTAAAAGATTCAATTATTACTAAATATGGGAAAACAAAACAATTCCGCGCTATCTGTTAGAAAAATGTACTATCAAAATTAAAAATCTGATACCTGAAAACATTTAAAATTAAACCAACAATGCTGTAAAAAGAGCTTTTCATGAAACTGGAAAGAAGCCTAACAAATGGCTACAATCATTTATGTCTTCTATACCAAAAACCAATCTATTGATAAATTCAAGCACTAGAGATGAATAAGAATACAGCAACTAGACCAAAAGAGTTCCCAGAAATGCAAAACTCAAAAGTAGATCAGGAACAGAGAGGTTAATCAAAAAGCTTCTATAAAATAGATTTTCTTCTCATTCCATTTAAAATCAATCAGAAACTGAAACTCAACTAAAAGAACTTCACTCTTGCATGAGAAAATTTCTTTTTAAAATTACATTTTATATAAGAGGGGTAGGGAGACCACAGGTCCATGCCTCTGAATGTCCTTCAAAACTGGGAATGCAGCTTCCTTTATTGCAGGTGTAACTCAGTCAGCATTTACATGTACCTAAGGCAATGTGCTGAGACGGTTTTAAAATGATGTACAGTTTCTACCCTTCTCTATAAATGTTGACTAGCAAAATGTTCGATCATTGGAAAAAAAAATTACATAATGACAGTTTACCAATTTACAGCAAATTATTAAATACCTTGAAAACAAATTATACTACAACATCTAATTCAGTCAATATAAATAATAATAGGTTAATTTTTAAAAGGTTATAATAATAGCATTCATGAGGTGTTAAGTTCATTTTGAGGGTACTTCTTAATAACACTCTGCTATGAATCTTTAATACGTGAATTATATCTATAATGTTTACTCTCTATGATGATATACTGCAACTATGATAGCAATATTATTTGATTAGTAATTAATCAACATAATATGTCCTTAAAAGTATGCAATGTAACTGAATTGTGGTAACTGATTATGGTACTTCCTTACTAATATAACCCTAATAGCTTAAAATGGTGTCAAGATTATCAAGGAATTTTATACAGTCAAAAGTCTTTAATCCGGACTCGTCAGGACTTCGGCGATTCCGGATTATCGGTTTTTCCGGATTTTAGATCATCAGTTTAAGTCTGGTAAGATAGCATGCAGAAATTATAAAATTAAAAATATGAAACTGTAATTTATGAAATAAAGAGCAATTATGATCTAAAGGGTATTAAAATTTTAAAAAAGATGCTTAATATTTATTTGTTTACTTTATTAAACATTTCTTTCCATGTAAGTTGTTTAAGTTGCTTCGTTTTATGTGTTAATACTTTCTCTTTAATTCTATAAACAGACATAATTTCTTGTTCAGTTACAAAGTTCCGCTGTTCAAGTCCTATAATTGCTGTGTCAAGAATACTGACTAACTTGTCAATCAAAATTTTTTCGTTTTCAATAACTTCTGTGTCACTTTCTTCATTATTGGAAGCAGGTCCATCCAAACATGCTTTCTCTTTGTAGATGCTTTGGCAGCTCCAGAATCGGAAACTCTTTTTGACATAATCAAAGTTCAAGCTTGCTTTTTATAAAATTGCTCAAACAGTCTGCAAAAAATAATAAGCCGGATCCAGTTAGAATATTAAGGAACAACGCAATCTGCAACATTAACTGGAATACATAATTAGATAATTTTAGCCTTGCTTATACCATCCGTTATACATTAAATGTACATGCATTTACGTATTATGCATTTAGGCATGTGCAGAAAGTTTGTAGCTTTGAGATCCGGATTATAGATCATTTCGGATTATGGATGTCCGGATTAAAGACTTTTGACTGTATATGAAAAAGTGGCAAAACTGCAGACTGCAGGCCAGTTTCTTCTGTTTTAAAAAACACCACCTAGTTAGGATTCTGGTTATTGATGCTGACTGCTGTACCAAAGGGCCCAGGTTCAAATCCTGGAGAAGGCATGGATATTTGCAAGCATATGGTATCTGTGCAATAAGCAGGCACTCAAAATACATGGCAAGCCATGAGTTCTCTCAAGAAGTTGCTAAGAGAAGAGGGGTGGAAGACCTTTGGATTGCACCTCAGGATGTTCTCTCTTGGTATTCCAAGAAAGAACACCCTGGGCAGAAGTGCTGGTCTAGCTTCTGTACATACCTACATTTAAAACAAATTTGTCAACTTGCCAAATAATTGTATTTTGACAATAGCAATTTATAATAAAAACCTGTAAACATGTAAAAAAACTCACATCTTTTAAAAAAAAAAATAAATAAAAAAAAAAAAAGGTAAAAGAGTGACAAAATACAATCCTATTTTAAAGTAAATTAATGTACATGTTATGGGATCAACCATATTAACTTGGAATGCTATGTATCTCACATTTTAAAAATGGTAGCAAAAAATAAAATAAAATAAAAATGGTTATATCTTGAGGTTAAGAAATTGTAACAATTAAAATGAGAAATAAATAACAGAAAAATATATCTGTTCATATCTAAGCTGAAACTTTGACAAAACAAAGAGCAAAAATGAAGATAAATTTCAAAATGAGCAAAAAAGCTGCACTGGAATTTTTTTTTTTTTTTAACCGCAGCTATATTTTTGAAAGTATAAATTATCTTCTGCTACTTGACAGTTTTCTTTTCATGTGAAATGGCACTTTTAAAGAAGCAACAGATGGAAGGCTATGTTTGTGCTCTTTCTGAAGAAAATTATTCATATCTAGTTATTAAGAAATGCTACGAAAGCCATGGTTTTTTTCATATCAAAATTTACGACAGGTAATATTATCAACAAGAAAGAAAAAAAGCGTCAAAGTTTGGCTTCAAGTGGAAAAATTGTTCTAAATACATATCCAAGGAAAAATGGAATGTTATAATGTTGCAAAAGTAAGATCTTTAATGTTAAAAGAAGCTGTTTAAGTCAAAGGACAGCTCAAAATCATTAAAATATTCAGTGTGAACTGTATACAAAGTGATTAATGTTGATTTGAATCTTCAAAAGATGGAAAAACATAATGTGTATCGTCTTTTTGCATGACATATCACTGAATGCAGAATTCTTTACAAAACCCATTTATCCAGATAAAAATGGGAAAATGTTGACACAATTGATGAATCTTGGATGTATTTAAATGAATGCAACAAAAAGAGATCATTTATTGCCATTAAAGGAGAGAAAAAATTCTTAAAACATGGGTCAAAGAATATAAAGTTTTTCATAGAGGTTTATGATTGCTCGTTTCTTGAAAAACGAGCAACTGCAAATTCAAAATAAATAGAGTAGAAAAAAATTTTAAGATCAATTTCATATTATCAGAATATATATTTTACTCATTTTTCAAATATGAATTATCTTCTAGAAAAGAAAAAAATATTTTCTATGTTCTAAAAGAAGATAGAAAATATGATTGATAGATTTATGATAACATATGATTTACTTAAGAGCTATTCTTATGGTAGGCAGACTGTAATTTGAATGGCTGGCTGTTTTGAATTGCTCTGCAATTTGTTGATAATCTTGACACAATTTAAATAACAGAAATCATCATAATAAGGAGATATATAAATTATACATATACTTTGCTATAAGATTTCCTGACCCAAAAAAAAAAAAAAAAAAAAAAAAAAAAAAAAACTAAATCTACATGATTATTGCAAATCTTATGCACTGCACAAAATCACCAGTTGCAGTACATTTCATGTTATGTATTTTGCCCAAATTTAGATTAAGACAATACTTATACAAATATAAATTTATAAAATTATGCTCACTCTTAATTTGCTTGTATCATCTTGTTGCACGCAGTCATCATAAAACTCTTTTAAAATTTTTCCAAGAATTACAGCTGAATAGACATCTTTTGACTCCTCTCCTCTGTGAACATATGCAAGCAGTGCAAGCTTTAAAAAAAAAAAAAAAAAAACATGTTAAAAATTAATCAAAATTTATGCATCATCAAAAAAGGATATTTTTAATAACAGCATAATTATTTTAAAATAACAGAACTATAAATTATTACATAAAAAAATTACAAATTGTAACTAATTGAAATATTAAATGGATTAAAAGAAATATTAAGCATAAAAAATAAGTTTTTTTCTAAATTCATTAAACAAACAGTAATTTAGAGTTTTTTTTTTTTTTTTTTTTTTTTTTTTTTTTTTTTTTTTTTTAGAAATATAGTCAAAGTGACATTTTACTGCATACATATTTTAATTAAATTTAATTTCCTCACATTAAAATTTCAGAATCTATATACATAGCTGATACCTAAGTTTATTGCCTAAATTTTGCATGGTGTGTTATTAAAATGATACATACCCTGTTTTAACGAAAGTTTCCCACTACTGCAAATATTGTCCGTGCAAACAGTTCCTATTGCTGCGTTTAAAAATATTTTTTTCAAATCATTTTTGGCACTTGAAAGAAAGAGACTTGCTTTAGAACACTGTGTTGTGAAATCTGTAAAAAAATATTATTATCCTTAATTACATCATCTGAAAGGGAACTATCCCGCTACCAGATTAGAACCATCATTTACTTCCAATTCTGCTACAAAAAGTCAGCTACAGAATGTCACCAAATCATGTGTACTTTCTTTAGGTAAAATCTTTAGGTACTACTGCTATATCATATGACACTGTGAGAGTTTGGCACTGAAAGTTTATAAACAAGGACTATGCAAGAAGCAGAGCGCTCTGGCTGGACTACTGATGTTGATGAGGCCCGCCTGCAAGAGCTTGTGCAAGAAGATCAGTAAGCAACCACTGGACAGCTTGCTAAGGAGTTACTCCCATGTCCATTAGTCCTGTTATCTATCACATAAATTTGACGTACAAGTTCAATTGCTGGGTGCCACATGAGTAAACTTAGCAGATAAGGACAGACGTGTTCAGGCCTGCATTAATCTACTCGGACATCAATTCAAGGATAAAATTCTGGACAGGATCATCACTTTTGATGAAAAGTGGATTTACTTCTACAACACAGGCAGAAAAGGGGGTTGGTCTGAGCCACAGCATTGCAAAGAGCAATTTGACTAACAAAAAGATCATGCTTTGTATCTGGTGAGATTACCGTGGTATTATCTACAAATAGTATCTGGAAAAAGGTAAAACCCTCGACAGTAAGGTGTACGAGATGCTAGTATGTGTTGGTGCTGTTATTAAAGAAAGAGATAGAACTGAGTTCCGGCACAAAAAGGAAATGTTCCATCAAGATAAAGTAAGACCACACATGTCTGCATTCAACAGCTGGACTCTGTACGGACTCGAACGGGATCTTTTGCTACGCCCACCATATAGATCTGACATCACCCCTTTAGATTTCTACCTTTTTTCACACTTGCAGCTACATCTTGCTGGTGCTATCTTCTATTCTGCACAGGATGTCCAAAATGAGGTTGATTTGTTTTTGAACTCGTAGCCATCAAGTTTCGGGCCATAGGCTTTAGAAAACTACCAAAATGTTGGCAGAAAATCATAGATTTGTGTAGTGACTACTACCTGCACTAAAGGTACTGCTTTCATGGTTTTTTTTCTAACTTTTTTAGGAACGCATTTTGGAGGAAATCTTTCATTACAACCAGATATTAGCACAATAACTTTAGCATAGTTTTGGAGAGCTTTTGCTGAAGGAAAAGAATGATGATTTAAGACTAATACTTACCCCAAAAACTTACCAATAAACCTACTTATAAGTGGACTTTTATTTGTTTTGTTCAGGAGAAAATTTTGTGACAATGATTTTAAGAATATATTCAAAAAATTATTCTCTTAGGTGAATCTGCAGAAAAATACATTATTTCTGTTAAAATCAATACTGAAGTGCACTGTCATCAGCTGGACAACCTGAATGATTGATTCACTTAAACAGAAAAGGTCAGAATTGTTCAATAGCATTCCACCAAGATTGTGCGAGATTTCATATAAGTTTAGTAACTCGCCAAAAGATTGAATGGGATATATTGCCTCACTTAGCATATTCTCCAGATCTGGCACCTTCTGATTATACTTTGTTCTACTCTCTACAAAATGTTTTAGACAATAAAATTTTTACCCTTTGAACCTCAATTTCAAATAAGGAAATCAAAAATCACCTCGATCAGTTTTTGCCACCAAAGAAAAAATAGGTTAATCTTTGGATTATGGTAACTTGGCGATTTTTTTGGCGACCAACCCTGCTACAGCATCCTGCTAGTTTTTGTTTGGACGCCATTTTTGTTTTCATGAGGTAAAAACATGTTTTTTTTTTTTCTTTTTTTTCTTTTTCTTTACTTAAAACTTTTTTTCCAACAATCTTCCATCCGAATTACGCTTATGCTAAAACTTTAATGGAACAAAAGTGCTTAATCATGACGAAGATTAGGTGCGAAATTGGGAGAAAGTGCAGAATCGCAAACAGCTTGCCGCGTTTTTAAGAATTGACATACACAGTATCCATGTACACATCGACCTATTTTCACTTAAAAAAACATCCCAGAATTGCACAAAAATGGCATTGCGCACACTCTTGACTTTATCCATGTACACTGCTAAAGTCCTAGCTAGTAACCTTTATCACCTTACAAAATGTCGCCAAACTACCTGTTACCATATTCCAAAGATTAGCGAAAAAATACTTTATAAGCGTGGAATCATGCTACTGCCAGAAAGACAGCAAAATGTATTGGACTAGAATGGACAATATATAATTCAATAAAATACTTATTTACCACAAAAAAATCTTTCATTTTCATAAAAGAAGAAAAAAATACTTTCAGAAAAACCCAATAAAACGCATAAAAAATCATCTAAATTTGAATAAATGCAAATATCTTTTTCAAATTTTAGAGAGGAAGGGGAAGGTATGATCATCTAGAAACATTTAAGTGAGTGTATGAGCAAATAAAGCTCAGAACCACTATTATAAAGTTTTTTTTTTTTCTTTTCGTTCAGATAAAGAAAATCCCACCTCTTTAAAGCTCAGTGCAGACAAAGAACTCTGAAAACAGTGTCTCACAAGTTCAGAGGCTGGAAAATTCCAAATCAAACCCGTTTTATTGAAGTACTACGTACTTGAATTATAAAGCCACAGTTCACAGTACATTAAATGGATGAACTATGAAAAGCTGCACGAGGTACAAGTAGAATATTTTGGAAACGATGTATCAGTCTTTTATCAATCTTAGTTTTATAAGTGGCAGAGATAAGTTTAATACACACCAGTTTCTCTATTGATTAGTATGTATTTGTTTTGTTTTAAGAGGTTAAGTGCACTAATAGAGAAGTGGGCACTTTTTGTCAAAAGTTTATACAGTCAAAAGTCTTCAATCCGGAACGATCTATAATCCGGACCTCAAAGCTACAAACTTTCTGCGTGTGCTTAAACGCACAATGCGTTTACGCATGCGCTCAATACCTACACGCATGCGCATTTAATGTATAACGGTCGGTATAAGCTAATCTAAAATTATCTAATTATCTATTTTAGTTAATGTTGCAGACTGCGTTGTTCCTTAATCTTCGAATTGGATCCGGCTTATTATTTTTTGCAGACTGTTAGAGCAATTTTATAAAAGTAAGCTTGAACTTTCGATTATGTGAAAAAGAATTTCCGATTCTGGAGCTGCCAAAGGATTTACAAAGCAAAAGAATGTTTCGATGTCCATCAAACAAAAAGTGGAATTGCTGCAAAAAATGGATAAAGGCATATCCTTTGTTTCTCTAACCATTCTGAAATCTGTTTATCAATTTCATGCTGCTCTGCGGGGGGGGGACGTCGCGGAGGGCAATGAACTGGAAGTTGATCTGTCAGCACTATCCTTATCTTCAGAACAGATGTTTTTATTTTATTTGGCTTATAATTCCTTACTAAATGCAGTATTTCATCTCGATGTACTCCATTTTTTATATGATTTAAATCAAATTCCTCGTCATTATAAATATCATGAATACACATCAAATGGTGTTCTGGTTGCAATTTTCTAATTTCGACTGTGCGTAATGTATGCTTTACATATGCGCGCATTGAAAGAAATGTTTAATAAAGAAAACAAATAAATATTAAGCCTTTTTTTGATAAATTTTGATACCCTTTAGATCATAATTGCTCTTTGTTTCATAAATTACGGTTTCATATTTTAATTTTATAATTTCTGCATGCCATCTTACCAGATTTAAAATAATGATCTATAATCCGGAAAAATCGATAATCCGGAATCGCCGAAGTCCCGACGAGTCCGGATTAACGACTTTTGACTGTATAGCAAAGCACTACATTACTTCTTGCAGTTTCTCGTACGCAAACAACACATGATACTGAATTCCAGGTAATGAATAAATAGAACTGAACGTGTTGTTTATAAGATATATTTATACATACGGATTGAATGTACTTACCCTCTGAATAAGTTTTGAGTGATCTTGTAATAAAGATGTCATTGTTAGGCAGCTGAAAATAGAGCAAACTTATTACAAGGTGTCGTTTTACAATTATATTTAAATGCTGTATTACTTTCATTTACAAAATAAAAAAACTTCGTTGCGCAAAGCAACTACACTATTAACTAATTGAAAGATAAATAACAAAATGCTAAAGACTATCGATTATATTTAATACTGAACAATGAAATCTTAGGCACTTTTCTGTTTCCGATAAAAACATAATATATTTCTGGGTTCGGTTCCAATAACAGTAAAGTACCAAATTTTGATTCTAAACTATTCTTTTCATATATTCGTAACAGTGAAGTAAAAAAAAAAAAAAAAAAAAACTTCATACGCTTATTTCAACTAAAATCAAATTTTTGGTAGCTACACACATACACATTCACATATTCAAGCACAATACCTAAGAAATATACACTATAATGCAAATGATGAATTATTAATCTCGAAGAATGATTAATTTGCTTCAGAGGTAAGAAAACTTCACATAATTTCCGTATAAATTGATATATAAAGTGTATTATTGACTTTTTTACACTTTCATTAAATCTATTATTTGTTTACACAAGCTACAGCGCATTTCAACATCCTCCTCTACCTTCCGAATAATTTTTATTTATTTATTTAGTTCTGTTTTTTGAATGAAAGGAATAGTTTTACAGGTTCTGATTTGATAAATTAGCTTTTAATTGTTTCTGTACGCTAAAATTGATATCATACCTAACTAAGCTATTGACAAAGGCTATTAATTTTTTTATCGTTGCTGTTATGGAGATTGTTAGGTATAAACATATATTTGAATTTTGCGTTATATGCATGAATGAAACAGGGCACAAGTATAGCCGCATTATTTAAACTCCATAGCTATCGAAAACAAGGATCTCAGCAACTCAACTCAACTCCTTCTTTGGGATCCATGAGAGTGCGTTTCATTATATGTTAATAATTATCTAAGTTAATCGTAAGTGCTTTTTAATTTTGTAACTTTTTAATATCTTAAATTAAAACTGCCTATATTCTTCATTCATAAATATTTGCTCATTTGTGTCTTGTAATTTTGCTTAAACAAGTACTTGTTAAACGATACAGTCTCAGTATATGATTATAAACAATAATATATCTCGGAGAATCTTGAGAAATCACTTGTTTTTAAAATATATTTGTGCATGCAATCGACTTCGAATGCTTTGTTTAGAATGTAAAATATATTCCTTGTGTTTACAATTTGCAAAAATCAGTACTGTTTATCAAGCATTTGAATTTCCGTAAATGATTTGGAAAATTGCATTTAGAAAATGTTATTCTCCAGAATTGCACAAAAATGGCATTGCGCACATTCTTGACTTTATCCGTTTACACATCGACCTATTTTCACTTAAAAAGTCAAAAAAAATTGACCAAAATCCAATTCTTACTCTTGTAAAAAGCCCAAACAAATACGTGGGCGATTCTGCACCTTACCGCAAATATTTTTCCTTCTGACGAATATCTATTACAATTTTACTTTCATATACACTTGTATTATTAACTAATATTAAATTTTACTATCCATCACTTTCCCTACACATTTAAAAAAATCAAAACCTGTTTTTTATGGAAGTATCAAATGCAAAAAAGTGATTTAATTGTTATTAAAATAACACGACACGTATAGCATTTTCGCAAATATAGATAATTCTATTTAGTTCACCTATATGTGTATACTTTAGAGAAGAAAAAAATTCTCCACATCATTTACAAAATCAATGGGTAAAAGTATATTTCGGGTATCCCTTGGTAACACATGGATACCGAGTTTGTGCAATTTTTTGACTTGTTATTTTGTCTTTGCGCTCCACAAATCCAAAATAACACAAACTCGGTATCCATGTATGCATCGACTTATTTTCACTTTAAAAAAATCAGAGAATTGCATAAACTTGGCATTGCGCACTCCCTTGACTTGGCGAGAAATGAAACAACTTCGCGATAATACAAAAGGTACCCTTCAGTCTACTCAAACCCAAATAATGTAATTACGGGTCGTTAATCGCTCCCTAAATTTAAAGTGGAAACTTAAGGTTCTATAAATATGTTTGCTGCTTGAGAGCTTCAGTTATTAAATAGAACTTGGTTCCCTAGGAAAAGTATTTTGAATTTTATGTGTTTAAAAAAACTTGCAGGATTTATTGCTAAACGACACAACTGTGGTTCTTTAAATAAATACAAGTATCAGCCTATTAATTACTTACATTAATTTTGGATTAGTATCAGCCTATTAATTACTTACATTAATTTTGGATTACTGCCCTTCTATTGTGCTCTAATTGATGTTGCAAGCTGCGATTCCCCTATTAACCTGGCGGAAGTCGTACCAAGAAAAGAGTGGGGTTTCACATATCCCAGTATTTAAAATACAATAAAGATAGTTTTGTTTTAAAGCTGTTTTTCTTGTTCTCATGTATTATAAATACGTGAATAATAATTGAGTTTCAAAAAATTAATTTCAGGGTTAAAATTAAGATAAATGAAAATAATAAAAAAATAAACGGTTGATCTTTACATTACGGTAACTGGTAGTTTGGCGACATTGTGGAGGCGATAAAGGTTACTACCTGGGACTTTGGTAATAATGTGAGCAGTACTGAGTTCCGATTACGCATTATTTTGTGTGGGGGAAATGAGAGATCGTGTGATACGTCATGTGATATTAATGGACGAATTACGGTTCTTTAATCGGAAGAGATCATGGGATATGTCATGTGATTTTAATGGACGAATTACTGTTCTTTAATGGGGAAAAATCTGGGAATTTTGTATTTTGGCTTTATTCTGTGTTGTGTGAAATATTGTTTGTGAATTTTTGGATCCCATGGCCGTAAGTAAAGTGAATTCGAAAGGGTATTTAGTGGTATTGAAAAGGATAGTAAGAAATGTTTTTTAAGGTTGTGTGAGAGAGAAATAAACATGTTTTATTATGTTATTTATTTTTACGTGGTATCTTGCTTTGAAAGATAAGTATGATTTAAAGATTCTGAAAGAGAATGAAGAAAAGTGTATCCGCCACGTAATGAAGATTCTGAAGGAGATTAGGTAAGTTATTATTTTTAATGATTTTTATGCATGTTGGAAATGTAAGGTGGAAAGGAATTTGGTATTATTGGGAAATTGTTATTAGCAATGATTTAGTTTAAAGTAATTAGGATTGTAAGGTAAAGTTTTATTAATTGAATGTATGTGCTCATTGTATATTTTAAGTGGTGTTTTTGAATTTAATTATATTTTAATGAAATGATAGTTATTTTGTGAATTTTTATACTTGTAGGAATTTGGTGTATGTTTAAGTTGAATAAATGTGCATGGAAATAATTTTAAATATTTGATAATAAATATTTGTAATGCTTCATGTATGAATTCGTTGGTGACGTGTATAATGTAATAGGTGATTTAGAGGTAAAAGTTTTTTTGGATATTTTATTTATTTTATATGTGGAAATGTTCATATTTGTAAAGGGTAAATACTTTTTCGCGATCAGGTAATTTCATATATGTTCTTTTTACCGGGTTTAAAGATTCGAGAAAATTGTCATGTATTTTCGTGAAATTTTTCTAATTTATGAGAAAAAAGCAGTGTACATGGATATAGTGAAGAGTGTGCGCAATGCCATTTTTGTGCAATTCTGGGATGTTTTTTTAAGTAAAAATAAGTCGGGCGTGTACATTTTTATGTGTATGTGTTTATTTTGAAAAACGCGTAAGGTGTATGGTATTGTGCACTTTTTTTTTCCGAATTTTGCAGTGAATATTTGTCATGATTAAGCAGTTTTGTTGATAAAATTTCTAGCATAAGTGTAATTCGGCTAGTAGATTTGTTGGAAGAAGTGTTCAGTAGATAAGAAGAAAAGAAACATGTCTTTACTTCGTGAAGACAAATGGCGGCGGGGAAAAAAAAATAAGAGGGTTGCTGTAGGGAGTTGGTCGCCAAATTTTTCGCGAAAAATCGCCAAGTTACCGCGTAATGTAAGATCAACCAAATAAACTCATCCTCTAAGTTTCATTGCATCTCTAATACACAATGTTATTTTATTTCTTTAACACTTTGAAATACGGTCATGTGTTCTGGCACAGAATGTTTCACATTTTAAAACATTGCATTCCACGTTTTTTTCTGTCTTGGCACGAGAGCAATTTATCACATCTTTCATACTTAGTTGTTTCGAATTTCATGTATTCGTTTTAATTCTTCGTCGAAACTTTTGCTTTTGTTCAGCATGCAGTATGCCAGTTTCTTGGTAAAGTATTAACCCATTTATGCCTACTGTTCTTTGTTGAACACAAGTACCCACTGTTTTGATCTTTGTTCAATACTTTTTTTCATTAATTGTAATGCTAAGTCCTTCAAAAACAGGCTTCTGTTTCTGGTTGGTGGATTAACAGTTGAATGTAATTCAAGCATTTATTACAGCAATACTCAGTGCAGGAAAGAAAATTACCATTGGCCACCTCCTTGTTATACTGGAAATTAAATAACTGGCTGACATTTCATTCCCCATATCCACTGCTCCATTAGTCATATTATAAAAACATATAATTCCTGATGTTTTATTTTCTCCAATAGTATCATCTATAGTACGATCGTGATATAATGTTAAAAGCATAAGAACAGTTTTTCCTTTTTTAGAAACATTAGGAATTAATGTTTTATCTTATGCGAAACCAAAAACAGTGTAGAAAATATTCCTAGCTTCATCTTCAGTTTCCGAAATGCAATCTTCATCGCTTTCAAATGTTTCTAATAAATCTCACAGGCTTTGCATCTTCAATTCATAGGGAGGTTTCTTTGTACCATAATGCGGTTAGAAATTTTTAAGAATTTAATGTCAAGTACTTTAAAATCCCTTGTGAGTAAAAATATTTACTGTTACACTCTAGAAATAAATTTCTGAACTAAATATGAGTCAGAAAAAACTTATATGCGAACAGGCGCGTGGGGTGTGTCATACCCAGTTCCAACAAAATATCGATAAACTTTTCTGAAACACACAGGCAAAAAAAAAACAGTTCTGAAAGTCACCACAACTAGAAACTCAGTACTGAATGCAGCACAGAATTTTAGTTTCACAAGTTAGGAATATTTCACTTTTATGTAGGGGTGGGGTATGATACACCCCACGCGCTTTACAAAAACATCCCAGAATTTCACAAACTAGGCATTGCGCACTGCTTTAAATTTGTCTATGTACACATCAATCTATTTTTATTTTTAAAAAAAAATCAGGAGGCTAAATCAAAGTTAAACTTTCATGGTAACCAAAAATGAGATTTCATCGCCAAAATTTTACAAAAAAAAATTGTTGCTAATCGAAGGGGCACCCAATTCTACACTAGAGCCAAATTTTTAATGATATCGGTTTTAATTCGATTCCATGATGATATCCACTCACATACTATTTGTAGACTGGCATGAAGAATTTGGCCTCCTTTCTTACATGTTTTTCTCCTCCTAGCGTCTACGTATTCTATTTTTAATATTCTATTGATACACACATCTGAAAGCTGAACTCGGGGTTCGTATCAGTCCTTATATTTGAAAATAAAATATAAAGGCCCTTATAGGTGCTTACTTTTTCTTTAAAACCCTTATTTTTTGTTTTTAGTGCTTATTTCTTGCTTTTAGTGCTTTTTTTTTAATCCATTGTTTTCAATGAACGCGCATTTTTTCGCCGTACCAAAGCCGAAACTAAATAAACAACTTTTCTGCCTTATATGCAATGTCAGATGGTGAGTCATACTCCCGAAAATTGCTTTTTCCCCTTTCCTCTGCATTAACGTAACCTATGGTGCGCGCGAGAGTACAGACAGGTGCACGTCGTTCTATTGGCCAAAGAATTGCGAAAACGTAGAAAATTCTGGTACATTCGGTATTCTTTTCCTCCCAACCAAATACTACACACGTTTGAATTTCTATCAAGATTTTAATAA